TAACGCTGGATATTTGTGAGGAGCCAAGCTAAAGGAGGCTTTAAGAAGACGTGGGAAGACCAGGCCTGCAGGCTAAGAGGTTGAGAAAAGAATGATATTTGTGAGGGTTTTTCCTTAAATATGCGCAAATTTTATATTGGAAATACAATAAGCGACCCTATATACTATGTAAATCCTCAACACCTTTTGGATCCGAACAGTTGCAAATAATTCGTTACGTTGTATTCTAGTTTGATTTGTATCCAGTTACTCCACTCACCACAGGCTCGTTAATTGAAGTGAAACTCTATAGAGTACTTACTAAGAACTTCAAGCATTATGCTCTGCTAAATTTTATTATTTGATTGTAATAAATCTCTAAATCAGATCAATTTATTAGAACCTATTCAATGTTTCTTTTTTGATGACTTTTTTTACTTATTCATAATTGCTTCCCTTAATAATAGCACATTGGCCTACGAGCACCATCTGGCTCAAATGATTGGTCCACTTGCTTATCAAAACTGGTCCTGCTCCACTAATCTTCCTTCTCGAGCAACGCCAGTGGGACAAACAGCCCGAAATGCACCGGGATTTTCCCAATGTCCGCAAAATTCCTGTCACAACCCTTTGAATACACCGGCTCATCTCACTGGGGCCCATAATGGCATGCAAGTTTGATCATTACATGTATTTATAATGTCGCCTAGAAAATCTATGATAAAAATCTTATTCGCTTAATATAATGTGATGATAATGATCATACTTTTTATTTCGTACCATTCTTCACCAATCGGTACCTTATCGCCGCCGTCTTTGACAGTATACGCCAGCTAAGTTGGTCTTGCCTGGCATGCCGCGCACATTGTATTCAATTTGCATTAAGTGATTAAGCCTATCCTTTGTTGCTTTGAAGTGAGTATAAAGCTTACGCTCGTGACTGGATTAGAAAATCAAGAGCTTCTGGAACAAGCAAATTGGCTCATCACACGAGTTATTTGTTATTCATGCTAGTCTCAAGAAATTTTGGTAAATTTTATTGAAGGATCCTGTCCACTTCCTAAAGCCGCATAGGCTAATTTTTAAGATAGCTTCTATTTGAGTAGGTTTTTGACAGCTGAGCCAGTTAAATCATGTTGGCTGATATTGGTTTTATGATTGAGACACATTTAAACTCGTTTTTTGTCTTATGTTTTATATAAAAAAACTTCTGTCTTTTTGCATATGCTGTTTTTACTCTGTTTTTTCTTACTTATCTTCCTTATTTTAACTCTATCACGCAGCCCAGATATTCATCATGCTTCATGATATTTGAATTTTTTGGTAAAAAACATCAAGAAAGTAGTTTCATTCTTATATAAATATATTTTGTTAGTAATATTGTCAATGCTGATAACTTAAATAAAGGCACCTTTTCCTCACTTTTTCAGTGAATGCTCCTTTGGATTAAATCCGGATATAGCTACCCATTCGATGTCGACAGTTTCAAGTAAGCTTACTTAATCTCTTTTCTTATAATTACAAACCTGGATTTTATCGTCATGGCTAAAAATATGTCAATATACCTTCTCATTAACTCAACACGAGCTTTATTTTTAAGCTTTGTATCGCTGTTTGTCCTCTGCTGCTTAGTATCCGCTATTGCTGTCGTATTAGTTGAATAAACTTACCTCTTATTTCAATTATCACTGACGTAATATAAATTGAGATCTTATAAATGTGGCTTGACCTTGTTTTCGGAACTTGGCCGTTTTGTTAGATATTGTGATAAATAAGGAGTGATACGAAGATATAGGTTAGATAGGCGTACCAGGACGTACTAGCTGATCATGAATAGTATGACAAATAATGTAGAATTAGGTATATTCCACAAGATCTCTCTGTCGCTTCGATCACGATGCGGAAACGAGGTCAAGCCAACACTACTTATGACAAAGGCTTATGATATCTTTAGCCATTAACTATTTCAAGCTGGGTAAAATTGGATCGGTTCAAACTGATATTTCTTTAAAATAATTATCCTCTAGGTTTGATTGGAAATAAGATTAGATTAATAAAGAATACCTTTTTTAATAGTAAATACGTAAGGAGAGATAAGGAGTTCTTTTTCCGTGTTTTGTCTTTGCCTTCATGAATTCTCTATAAAAGGATAGATGAACTAGTAAGGAATTGGGGAATAAAAACCGTTCTCAGGGAAACTACGACATTTTCTTTAGTTATGCACACTTTTACTGATCGAGTTGCTACAAAATAATATGTTCATATGGTCGCTTTTATTCTGGAAAGACTTGTTGTCCCACTCGACAAAGAGTGGCTGAGCACATCAGCGCCTGTAGAAGCTGTTGGATTCAAAGATCATGGCTGGCTAGGCAGAAACTGGGTACGAGATTAAATGGCTTCAAACTCATCAGTTTGCTGATTATAGTATGCCTGCTGCTAAAGGTAAAATTAGAGATGCCATCGAAATAAACCAGATAGGGAATACCGGTAAGATGTTAAGTAAAAGTACTTGTGCTTAGAAGTTGTTTTCACAACTGAGTCATATTGATATGAAGACGTTGAGTAACACATCTTGTCTGGAATCCATGGTATGCGTGATAACTTCCATAGTCGGACCATGGACTTGGTACATTCCCAGACGTCATCGTCAGTGAGCCTTGTCATTTTAGCACCACACAACAACTTGTCAAAGAAACAAGTTGAGTCGATCTTTTTGACAAATTGTCTGCTAAACCGTTGTGTTCTCCTGTCCCGGGCTATTCATCTATCCTTTATCCTCGTATCATCCCTTCAATGTCACTATTTCTTACTTGTTCATCTAAACCTATATGAAGCCTATACACACTCCTCGTTGGTTTCCACATCCCTACCACCGTGCCGAGAGTTTTGATCCAAGACTGCAGTTTAATCTGTAATCCTTCCCTTTCGGTTCCCTCTTTCTCTGCCATTGCTGCCACCCTATCCTTGCAACTCAAGGCGTTATGTTCTACACTCTGCCCCAAGTCTGTGATTCCTCTAAAGTCTGGATTCTCTATTAGCATGGCAAGCTAACTTGACGTTGTAGATTCCCTTATCATTGTGCGGCATTTGCACCAAGTAAACCTCGTGGTCAATCATTTATTTCAGCGACCTCATCTACGACAAGCTTATCTACTAATAGTCAATTACAAATTGTCATCACTATTTCTCTCGCTCTTCTATCCCTAATGCCAAGTCTATGACTTTCTCTTGAGTGCCGACACACACATGTGATAGTTCTACTTGATTTGAATATGCTCGCTGTAGACGTCTTTTTTTGATTTCAGATTGTTCCTCCATGTTTTCCTTATAGTTTATTTTCCTATAATTAAAACTATTACGTTATCTAATTGTCTTCCTTTTTCTGATATTGCTATTCCCTGGTCTGCGAGTTTGCTTAAGCAGTATGCAAAGTTTTCGCTTATCCTGCCTTCTTTAAGTCTCCAGATCATTAGGCTTATTTTAGTCATATCGTACGTTTTATTGTATTTCCACCATATGCAGCTAACCTTTCGATTGATTTCCCGTCTCGTTCGTGCGATATCTTCCACTATTTCGCATCTTTAAGTATCCATGTTTCTGCAAAGTCTTTGATGCTCCTTGATACATAAGCTGATTTTTTTTCCTGTTTCATCAATATACTTCTGCTCACAGTTGCCGCATTTAATGCTATGGACTCCGAGCAATCAAGTTTGCCAACCATAGACTTGGTACATTCCCAGACGTCTAGCCGGCATCATCAGTGAGCCTTGTCATTTTAGCACCACACAACAACTTGTCAAAGAAACAAGTTGAGTCGATCTTTTTGACAAATTGTCTGCTAAACCGTTGTGCTCTCCTGTCCCGGGCTATTCATCTATCCTTTATCCTCGTATCACCCATTCAATGTCACTATTTCTTACTTGTTCATCTAAACCTATATGAAGCCTATACACACTCCTCGCTGGTTTCCACATCCCTCAGCTGGCTAATGCAGAGTGTTGCCTTGATATTCAATTTTCTTAGCAATGGTTGCAATTTCTGCCTCTGTTCACAGGAGGACAGACATATCCACTTTTGGTCGTCCTCTCGATTCCCGATCTTATTTTCATAAAATCCTAGTTGAAATCTGCTCTTTATAACTCCTATATTTATTTATATAAATTTTCCGGGGTACCTGTTACTATGTCAAATCCGAGTTAGTTTCTCCAACTCCTCGTTTCAGAGCTCAGTGCTTGTTAATCGTGAGCTTCTGAATCAGGAGAGCTACCACAACTGTTTAGCAGACGATTGGTCAGGAGATTGACTTTACTTGTCTCTTTGACGAGTTGTAGTGTAGTGCTAAGAATGGCAAGGCTCGCTGACTATGTCAACTACGAGGCTGGCGAAGCATCTGGAATGTACCACGTCCACGATCCGACTCTGGAAGTGATCATGCATACTGTGCAAACTGGGCAAGGGGCGTTCCTTAAGGTGCCCAAGTTGCGAAAACAG